CCCATGGATATGTTCTGCTTTTCTTGTAGTATTTGTGAAATAATCTTACCCTTTTATTTTGGTTGGAAATACGTGGAGAAAGCAAAGTAGATTAGGAACTGCCAGTCTGGAAAAGAGAGAAAACAAAGGATTTCAGCCACAGGGGTTATGCAAAGAGTGTCCTGGGCTCATACCTGTGCCTTTTCTCAATCAAGAAGTTGTATATTAAGCCAACAGGGAATAGGCAGGCCGACAAAATGAGGTGGCTCCCTGTGTGAGAAAACTATGGAGTTTGCCATGTCAAAGGGAGTTAGGGTGTAGGATGTAAAGGATGCAGAACATTCTTTACACATTTGAAGAAAAACTGAACAAATTTGTGAAACATATCTACTGTGAGTTATTACAGGAGGGGAAAAAATTCTTTGTAATTCCTTGAGTTTCAGATTGGACTTTAGGAGAAATTTCTGATAAAGTATTATTTTATGGTTGTTGGACTCTTAAACTGATAATTTTTAGTCTCAGCAAATATGGCTGCTCTTAAACTTTGTTACATTTTTATGATGTCTATGAAATGTGCTTTTAAGATAGTATTTAAAGCATTCATTGCTCCATCAAACTTCTTAGGTATAATACAGTAAGTGCCTTTAGAAGCCAAACAGTTCAGAAGTGACATTGCAGCACAATTGTTTTATCCATTTACAAAAATAGAAAAATGCCACCATTTTATTTCCCTTTACAACTTTTTTTTCCATGCGCTTTTATTTAGATTCAGGTTGCTTTGTATTCCTATTGAACCTTAAGTATATTTATCACCTGTATCCTCTCTTGCCTAACGTCTTCGAATGAAAAATAATTTTTGTTGCCCTATCCAGTTATTTTGAATGACAAATAAGTTCTTGTTTTCCCTGCAGACAGACTGTCTTTAAGTCACTAATCCACCTTATCAATAACACAGGCGTCTTATCAGAAAATGCTAAATGTTTTATTTGCCTGAGTTATACAAACTTCTTTCTCCAGTGTGTATGCTGTCTAAAAATTGGTATGCAGAGCATGTTTTTTAAACTTCAGTGTAGGATAGTTACAGAGTGGAATCAGACTTCTCAGAGCTTCAACTAAACATGTAGAAATAAATTGTTATGGTGAGTTGTTGCTGTATTTCATGATTAGGCTGTGTTCACAAAGAACAGTTTCAACAGTTTGATCAAAGACTGTTCTTTAAAGACCCATCACCAGTATCTTTTTGGAAATTATTTGCTTTTATTGTGTGGCATTGTTTGAAATATTTTGAAACTAGATACATAAATGTTTCATTAAATGCTACTATCTTATGACATTGCTTTACTATTCTAAATCCCATATCTATATTAATGACTTTTTCTGTTTCAATAATGTAAGAAAATGGGTATCAAGTTCAGTAAACAAATTCTAAGAGCTCAATAAGAAGCATCAGAAAAAAGTACTACAATTCTCAAGATTGATCCTGTGCAATGAAGATTTATGTCATTTTTATATGCTAAGTTCAAGGTCATTTGCTTTGATGAAATATGTGCTTTTACCTTATTTCCATGCGAAGAAAGGTAATCTCTACTGCCCATGTGACAATGGAAATGACACTGCAATGAATAGAAAGAAAATGTTATTGGAGTTATAATATCAGAAATAGTTTTTAACCTGCTTAGGACTCGTATAGATTTGGGGCTCATTTATACTCTATTTATGTCACTTTGACGACACAGATTACCTTTCAGAAGGAAGCAAAAGTAATTTTAAGGTCCATTTAAACCCAAAGTAGGACAGAGTGTCTTCTGAATAAAGATGACACTGTTTATGTTTAAATAACTTAAATTCCATCTGCATCCTCAGTATAAGCAATTCAGACACTCTCCTATTGATATTTATACATAAAATGCTATTCTCCTAAGAGAACGTGCAGTAAAGTAGGTGTTAGTGCTGAGATTTTTTTTTTATATTTTTCCTTGATTATATAATGCCATTTTTACTTTCACTCTTTATTTGGGCCAGACTGTACTTCACTTATTTTTAACTTTTCAATTCCCTTTGTTCTTCTATGATATTTTTAAGAAACCATTTTTCTTTTTTTTAATTTTTTTTCCCGGTTGAGCATATAACTTGATGTTTCAGAAAAGAAAGATCTGAAGGTCTCTGCCTTGGTTCCTTTCTTGCTCACTGCATGCACTTATTATGTAACTTCATAAACCAGGGTCTTGTGAAGTTTATTTGCCTGGTTTTGCCTAGGAAGGTGTGTGCACTTCTGAGCAGGTGACAGGGCTGAGGGAGACTTCTCTTCCTTGCATCAGGAACCCAATCCCAGCCTGTCTCCTGGTTTTCTGAAACAAGCACTCCCCTCCTTTCACTCACACTTGCTGAACTACCTTCTTTGGAAGCTGTTTTTGCACAAGTTGTCCAGAATTCTGTCTCTCTGTCCCCATGAAAACCCTTTCCACTCGTTTCCCACTCCCTTTAAACTGTTCCTAATGACCAGCTATTACTGCAAGTGTTTCATGCTTTTTGGCATTTTCAGCTGCCTGAGCTCTGCCTGTCATTCCTTTTCTTATTTTCTTATTTCTTGGCTTTTTTCTCCATCCTCTCCCAGATTTCCCCAAATCTCTGCAGTATCAACTCAGATACACCGACTGGAAATCCTCCTGCTTTGTCCAAGCATCTTGCTGTCCTGTCTTGGTTTCTTTCTTGTTCATTCCACACCTTCCTTGTGAGGTATCTCATCTGTGTATGGATCTGCTTCTAGTTGGGATTTATTTGTTATGCTCTGAGTTATCTCTCAGCTAAATCTGGTATCTTCACTAAGAACACTGTTCAGTACTGTGTTGTCTGGTCAGTTGAAATTATCTGGCTTGTGCTGACATGGCCTGGGAAAGAGCAGAGCACTTGAGCAGGTTTATTTTAGTCCCATACAAGGCAGTTGCAGAACAGCCTTCCAGTAAGAGAAGTCTCTGCCAGCTCCTGCTTGGGACTGTGGATGTGTCTTTCCTCTTTGGTTCACTATGAAACTTCTTGACTGGGGAAAAATACACAATTCATTTTGAAAGGCTGATTCTGAATTTTTGGTGATCACCATCAGACCAAAACAGACAGGTCTTGTGGTTTTTTCCTTTCTCCCCAAAGGCGTAGCTGTACTTTTTGTTTTCTCTCTCTCATCACAGGAAATTTTCCTATTGTTCTACTTCAGAGTAGTTCTGACTTTTAAATTCATGCTGCTGTAATGACTCAATGTGTCAGCACAGTGCAGCTGACTCCACTGTATGAAGAACTGTTTTAGAAAAAAGTGTTCTAAAAATTTGGCATAAAATTCTTTTGTTTTAAATATAATATGAATACTTGTATATTCTAATTTTTCTTTTGAGGGGGAAATATTCACTTAGTGTATTTGAAAATTATTTAAATGTTGTGAAAAGAGAAAAGCACAGATATCTTTAAATATATTTCTTCCTTTATATACGATAGGTTTTTTATGTGTGAAAAAGAACATTTGTTATTTGTTACTGTAATTGTTCTTCAGTGTCAACTCACCCCATGCAGATTATCATGTCAACACTTCCTGCTTTACTTGGGCAGGGTTTTAAATACTGATTTGTTGCTGTCCAAGGCAAACCTTTTAAGCAAAATTTTCTGTTTTTTTGTTTTTTCAGATGAAATGCATGATGTCACTGTCATAGATTTTATTATATATTATGTTTTAATATTACATTTTCAAGGTTCTAATTCCACAATAGTATTGAAGCCCTGATTGCTTCAAACAGACTCTGTGTAGCTGCGAGAATCAAGAATGATGGAACCTTTTGGTGACCTGGGATCAATAGCTGCAAACCCATGGAAAGCAGAGAGCACTGAAGTGGAATATGTGTCTTTTGAGTTCCTCATGTCTGCATACTGCCCTGAGGCCTTGTTGATTCACTCATAATCCTGGAAAATTTAAATAGGTGTTCAAATTACATAATCCTTCAGCAAATATTCATTTGGTCTAAAAAAATAAATCTATCAAAATTTATAAGGGAAGGAATTTCTCTTTTGAAAAGAAGACAGAAGAACATGGAGATTGTGCATAGGCATTGGTATCCCCATCCCCTAGAAGTTTGGAACTTTGCTTAGTTTTCTAGATATTACAAAAAAATTTTCTAGCTACTTATCTTAGGAAATAGGATCAGCTGAGAGTTTTAACAGGACAGAAAAATCAAGAACTAGTCCTTACTGTGCTATTAATCTATAATATAACACTTATAATTGTACTTCATCTTCAAGCTCTATTTGTGGCTCCTTGTAGAGATATGTAGCAGAAGAGAGGAAAATGGACTTTGGCAAGGGAAGCACCTCTCTTCTCCTCAAGAAAAGTTATATGGGATTTGTTCAAAAGCCAAGTGAATTTAAAAGTCATATATAGACTGGTAATTGTTTCCGTAAAAATATTTGTATGCTCAGAAATTGAAATGTTTTTAGCAGTTAAGTAAAACATGTAACCAAATTTGGTAATCCTTAAACTGCAACTCAGTCTGGGTTTCACTGCATTTTGGAATTATGAGTAATTTTTCTTACAAATTCCAGCTTGTTGTATTCAACATATTTTCATCTTAAAATATACACCATTTCTCTCCCTGCTGAATGACTCCAGTAAGTACAAAACCATCTGATTGATCTTTTATGTGGTTTACTGGCTTCTTTGGTGAAACACACAAGCGTTTTTTATGACGTCTAAATAATTTCATTATTTTAGGATTCTGTAAGAAAAAACTGGTTTACTACTTCAAAAGGAGCTCCTTTTAGGCTGATGCCTCAAACTTCACCCTGCATACATTCTTGTCTCTGGATTTTTCAACTGTCCTGTGGTTGCATATAAGTAGTTAGTGTTTCTGGGGTCTTTTTTCAATCTGTTATTTGTGTTTACAAATTATGTCTTCAGCATTGAAGGCTCTGCAGAAAGCCAGGAAGTGCTGATTTCTGCATACATTACGTTTCTCCCTCCCTGTGTTTTATTCTTATTGCTCCAGTCAGTGTGCTGAAGCATGACAAGAGCTCCAAGTCGGCAAACTTCCAAGATGTGGAGGATACGTCTGACAGATGTGTCTTGGAAGAGTCTGAGAGTCCAGGTGAGAGGCATTTAAAGACAACTACCAAGTATCAAGTGATAAATCTGAAACAGCTTTTGGGTCTGTAAAAAAAGCAGATTGTAATGCTGTTTCCTTTTTAGCAGCTGCAATGTCAAATTAATGGTCACCTCCAGGGGTCACAGTGTGGAGCTGTTATCCTTTCCTCTTTCATCAGGAGTTCAGGTCTGAAAAAGGATAAAGGCTTTATGACCAAAAAGAAAGCTGACACTACTAGTTCATTATAATTACTTTTGGACTACACTGCTTACTTAATATATGTACAATGTCTGACCCTTTGAAGGTAGCGTGAGATTATGAAAAATTAGAAGTACTGTATATACTGCAGCTGAATGCAGCAGTGGACACTCAAACACCGTATCTCTGGAGGAAAGCAAATTGGTGGCATTAAATAGCTTGATTCTTTCCTTTAAATCAGCTCACAATCATTATTTCATTTTAATGACTCTTAACATTGATTCAGCTAAATACAGGAACATCCATAAAGTGCATCCTTTTTGGTAACCGAAAGATTTATCTTCATGTAGTTTCATTATCTTTCTCGTTATGGAACATCTACAAAATTTATTAAATGAATCCAAAAAGGAAACAATTAAATATAAATTGTATCGAGTCACAGCTGATTAAAAACATTCTGTGTGACTAAATACCAAGATCTTTTAAGCAAACTGTGAGCTTGACCCATATACACCACACACATAACCTGCACACAGTCCTTATTAGTGAAAGAGTTAAACATCTTTCTTCACTTGGTATTTTCCTTCCTGTTTTATCTGGTTTCTCTGTACCCTCCTGCATCTTTGTGTGCTGATCCGTGTATCATATTTTTGATTCATCGTCTCTGCGGCCTGTCAGCTTAGTTAAGAGATTTCCAAATCTTGCAGCCTGTGCTGACAGGGGGCAGCTGCCAACAGTCCCCTGATCCTTCCCCAAGGAACACTGCTGAGATTTAATTTTCAGTCAAAGGGTGCAGTCTGAAATCCATGTCAGGTCCCCTAAGTCATCTCAGAACCCGGATAGGACCCATGTCTGGGGGATTATATTTCAGCACACTCCACTCTTCCAAGATTCCTTGGGAGTTCAACTACTGTCATATACCTGATTTGAACTACATTCCCTTCTCATCTTTTCCAGAGAAATGAACACCAGTATATGTTACAATAATTGAAACCAATGAATTGTAAATCTCTATTCATTTTAAAACCACATAGACTTGGACTCAATGTTGTCCAGCAGAAACCAGCATGAGATTTAGAAAGAAATAGGTAATCTACTCAGAAAGGAGACAGGTTTGACAATCTGTGGTGTTTAGTATCTCCTTAAGAAACCATCTGTAGTCACTTCAACAACAATTATGGGCTGAATTATGGATGGTCCAAGATTTGATCAGTTTTGAAGTGAGAAAGGATTAAAGCAAGGTAGCACTACAGGGTTCAGGGGAGAATTAATGTACCTTAAAGATAACACTAATTTTAACCTTAAATTAATTCTCTCTGGCAAAGTGTGCCTGTTTGGATGGGAACTTACATATCCAATTCCTCACTCTGCATATCTATATGAAGCAATGGAAAGAATAAAAGCCTTTCAGGAGGTGAATATTGACTGGCAAAAATTCATGTTGATAAAGCATCCAAACTTAAAAACTGAGTTCCAGTCGGTCCATCTGACATCATTAAACTAGTAATAAACAATGAATTACTCTGGCTTTTGTTTCTGTCCATTCCTGCATTTTAAGACATCTTGTCTTATAGGTCTGAAAACCTCAGGAGATTTCACTACTGGTCTCACTGCTTTCCACTGAGAATTTGTGGCTTGGTTGTCATGGAGACATCGTATTTCTCCAAGAATTGCTCATATTGATCCGTGGACAGGCGTAAATGGCCAGGCGAATGTGAGGAGTAAAGGGGGTTGGGCAGTACTATAAAATGACCAGAGGTTATGGGTCGGAAATAAGCTCATAGCAAACACTTAGGTAAAGAGAAAGAAACAGTTTCATTTTGTTTCAGGATTTCGTTTTTGCACTTTATGCCATTGTCTTCTTTCACTATAGACTGAAAGAAACTTGTTAGTCACTTGTCATGTCAGATCTTTGGTGCTTGTCCTGACACAGCTGTCAGCCTTCCAGCTCTGTGCAGTTCAGGGACACACAACAAAGAGCTAGGAACATGAATTATTTATTGCTCCTTGTGCGGATGAAATTCTGTGATAAGAAATTAAGACACTTCTGACAGAAGTGCTTGTTTGAAAGGAAAGATTTGGTAACACAATACATTTACTTAAAGCTTACCATTTACTTTTAGTAGCAAACATTGAAACAATAATATGACATTCAGTTGGCTGTGATTTTCTCAGGTGCTTTACCTTTGAATCATGGAACCTGAGAGCGCTTGGGAGGTCAGCATTTCCTTTGGTGTAACTTGTGACTTAAGAATCTTTCTTACACATATTCAAAGTCTGGGCAAACTTACAAACTTACAAGTTTTTATTAATAAATCTATAAAGAGTCTCTTGTGCTTCACTTAAAAGTTATTGTCATAGGTGCAAGAGTGATGTTAAGAAATATATTTATTTTATTATCTCTTCTGATGAGGAAAAGGTGAAAATATAAAAATATAACAATATATCTGGAAGGAATTCCAACAATTGCTAGAAAGAGTTCTTTATTACTGCTTCTAGATTCAGGAAGGCTGTGGAGCAGCCATTAACACATCTATCTGTACACTGTGGTTTTTGGTGGTGAAAGGTGCAGTCTCTGTCATTGACATTAGAAGGAGTTTTATTTCCAAAGTGATCTTTGTTTTCAAAAATCACATGAAGCTTGCTCTGTTTGTTTTACTTTCCAATTTTCTTTGTCTGCACACGTTCTCACTGCTCTGTGCATTGGTCTCCAGAAATTGTAGGAGGCAGATACTCAAATGAATCGCAGGAATCCATTTGACTACCCATGACACCAATCCAAGATTTACCTGTGATTTCTTATGTTTAATGTGTGATCTGAACTACTCTCAGATAGGTAATGAAACCCCTCAACCTGCACTTTTCTCTTGGATAATTCACAGTAAACACTTTTCACAAGTGATGGACACAGGTAAATATCAGACTGCAGTTTCTTGTCTAAGTGAAATGGATTTTAGTTTCTCCCTTCATGTGGCTACAGGCTGCCATTATCTGTGATAGTGGTTCCTGTCTATTTTAGGCCCCACACAGAGGAGATGCTGGGCTTCTCTCCCAGATGCCTAATAGTAGGTTTATCACTGCCATTTTTCCCCACATGCTGAGGACTACTCCTGTTTGACATGCAAAGCCTTGGCTTTTCAAATTTGTCTCTGCTCTGGCCTTGAACATAATAATCAGATAAGAATTGCAACAGTTTTCTGTAGAACTTGACTTTTAGTCATATCAATCTCCCCTAAAGAATTCACTATCCCTTAAAGTACTTCTTTCTTTAAATAAATATTCCCAGCAGTTTTCCATTTTACAATAAGAATTTTCCACATTTAAGGAAACTGAAAAAGAAGCTGAAAGTGAGTGTCCGTGGATGTGTTAGTTAGACTTCTAGGTCTGAGCTATTCACCTGAATTTTCTTGTAGAAACAGTGGTAAAAAATTTACATCCCAGATGAAGATCATCTTGTCCAAAGGGAGTTGCTTGAAATGGTTCCTGAGGGGGTTGAAAATGCTCTGAATTTTGTTAGAGGATTTTTTCTAGGAGGACTGTAGCAGGACTAAACACAGCTTGAGATGTCTTAGCTTTCATATCTGGGGCAGTCCCACTAAGGACAGTTCTGCAAGTGCAGCTCCTGTGGGAAAAAGGAATAGATTTGAGCTGAAGTCACAAGAAACCATGTAGTCACAGATGCCTCTTCCCTGTTATTTTCCCCAAAAGACACATTGCAGTAGAGTAGGAAATAGACTATTACTTCACTTGGTAATAGAGGGAAAATGAGCCTCACTAATGGAAGATTGAATTGGAAGCTGTAGATGGAAAGTATAGTGTTTTCCATCTTTTGGATAGAAACCATGTAAATGGTAAAACCCATGTATGCTTATGGCCTGTAGTATCAAACAGTCTCTGCCTGGTCCCTTCTGCAGCTCATGATCTCTCCCATCCCTTCATTCCAAAACCATTGCACATAATAAATTTTCTGTCTTCAGTCTTTCACTTTTCGGGACAGAATATAATCCTGGGTGCATAACAGATAATAGGGAAAATCCAAGCAGTTTTCACAGTCTTGCTTAATTGCTTATCCTATTTAGAGACCTTGGCACAAAAATGGGAAAGGTCTCTGACTGTCCCCAAAATAGTGTGTGAGAGGCAGAACTGCAGAAAATAGAAAAAAAATGTATTATTAGTCATACTGTGCTTAAAAATATAGCACTAAAATATGTGACTATCTTGTTATCAAACAAGTTATAATTACTGCATCAAATATTCACTTACCAGCTCCAAGTTCCATCCACTGTAGAGTGTTTTTAAAATCAGCATTGTTGCTGATTTTATCTATGGCTGTTGATCAAAACACAGGCAGAATGTAAACGTAAATATTCAGTAAATTTCCAGGTACAAAGCACCCTAGAAAGTAATGATTTTCTGTGTTTGCATGCTCATGAAAAGCAGGAGGCAGTAAATGAGGACTGACCTGTGAAAGGGGTGCTGGAGGCTGTTGCTGGTGAAGATGCTGGAGGAGGAAGAAGGTGCAATGTAGGGGCAGTCCATTGGTCACAGGCACTGCTGGTTCAGGGACTGTGTATGAAATGTCAGTGCCCAGGAATTATTCCAGAAAGAAGTTCTAGAATTTCCAGCATAGGAATGGATGAATTAATCATAATTTCACTGCAACAGATGTAGTATCGTATCCTATCAGTGTTCTGAGTTACTCGAATTATGGCTCGTATGTTTTGGTTTGATTTGTGATTTGTTTTTGTTTGCTTTTAGGTTTTTTTTAATAGTAAATTAAACTGTAGACTCAGAGGACTGCCTAATAGTCATCAAGAAAATGCCTCTCTGTGTCTATGATACAGATAGACAGAAAGATCACAGATAATATGATAAATTTACAAGATAGTCCTTAGATGGGAATAAAAGAATGTGTGCTGCTTTCTCAGTGTTCATATAGTCATGAGAGGTGTGGTGGTACCTGTTTGAGCAGTGTTTCTAATGCAAATAATATTTAAAATTCAGGTTGCAAATACTACCGTACCTCAAATGAAAAGAAATTATGAGGATAAAAATTGGTGATTGAAAGCTTTTCTGTGGAATTCTAAAATGCCTTGACAGGATTAAAATAAAATATAACATTGCTGCTGTTTACAGCTATTGTAGGATTATTTCTGCTAAGAGAAAATATATATAATTTGAGAATTTTGCATAGGAAACATAAAACCCTATTAATTCAAAACAGAAATTATCTTTCTTCTGATCCACTGGAGCACTTTCCTTTAAAACGAAAGGAAGAAGCAGAAGTCTGTGCAGGAGAAGAGTTTTGAGGAATGCCATACATTCTATTGAGCTCTTTCAGGTTCCATATTGCTTCCTGTGGTATGTGAAATATAATGTGAACAGTCTTCTGAAGGTTGATTTCTGCACCTTTTAACACTAATATGAGGGGGCTGAAAGTTTTTATTCCATTACAAAAATTATAGACTTTGTTACTTTATAAAAAGACTGTAAAATAACCTATATTTTAGTAACAAAGTTTCAGCTATTACCTCATATTGTAAAATCATTGAACCTCAAATTGTAACTCATTAAGAAATCATGCATTTCTTTTCCAGATGACATGAAGCAACATCCCTGGATATCTAAGGTGTGCTCCTGTAAGGTGTGCTAGAAGAAAAACACTGAGATGAAAGAATTGGAAGATGTAGAAGGACAACCAAGAAATAGGACATATATGGTGTGGTGGACATGAAATGGCTTTTTGTATTTATTATGGTATCTTTAACAATCAATTTTCAGAAAAAATACCTTCCATAAGATCAGCTTCTTTTGGCTGATTTATTGGCTTCAATTTACGCTCCTGTCGCTAATAGATTTACATACATATTTACATAAATTTGAGTAGTTTTAATATAGAAAATATCAACTCTTCATTTTTGGATATCATTCATTTGTTTATGTAGTGATCTTTAGAACTTTGATTGCCATTAAACAATTATATCAATTTTAGTATTGTTTTACATACATAAAATTTAAATTTTTCTCCCTCTTTCCTTATGACTTTTCTTATCAATAGCATTTTAACACTGAGTGAAACCAAATGCCTTTCAAATAATCAGAAAATTTATTTTTACTGAAAATAGAAATTCACAGTTTGAATTAAACATGGAATGTTTAGAACTAAAAAACAAAGAGTATTCTGTGCACTTGTTATCAATTTCAATTGATATTATTCTGTGCATTTGTTATCAATTTCCCATTCTGAGACAATGGGAAATTGATAACAAATCTGGCCATGTCTAGGATGTAAATTTTCCTTTTCTCTAAAAACTGCCATTGCCATCATCTGTAGAAAGGTAGTACCAGTATGGAACTGGAGAAGCCCATTGGGGTCCTCTTCTGAAATTATATACTTCACTTAATATCAATTTGTGCTCATTGGGAAAAGCAGCTATACCTTTTTTACTTGTGTGCTGTGGCTTCATTCTTGCATTTCTTGTGCTAGATGTGTGGAATAATATCATTGATGCATTTATACTTGCACAACACAACTGAGAGCAGAACATGTCTTTAGCTAACATATATCCTCCTCTTAACTTTTGTGGCTGAATGAGAGTTGTAAACATCAAGGAGGTAAAAAAAAAATTGTAAATATACCTACAGAACTTAGTAGCCCTACAGGAACCTTGCAGACAGTAGAACAAATTGCAAACAAAGGATGGACCCATCTCCCTCCTTTGCTCCTCTTCCATATGAACAATGACATCCAGTTGTTGCAGCAGTTTCTTCCATGGACATTAAAAAGTCTGTTCACAACAAGCATCACTGCTTTGCATCAGCATCTGCTCACTTGGGCCAGGATTACAACTCTTTTGAAAACTCTTTCATCTAGATATTTCAAAAATGCATGTGTTCAAGGAGGTCTCATAACTCAAGGAATTGGCAATGGCCATAACACCCACAACTGCTGTAGTAGCAATTACATTTGTGCAACATGATATTTGATTGCTTGTCTTTAATTCTGCAAAGCAGTGCACATCAGCAGCCTGCCGATAGAGCCAGCCCTCTGGAATGGTTTGTGCAGTGATGATCGGTGTTTGGCACATGCTTGTGCGTGCTTTCTGCTAATTATCATTACAGGATCAGTAAGGTAAGGCAGGAACTTTTTTATTAGGTACATTTATTTCCCAGTAAAGCAAATATATTCCCCTTGTCTTCTGGATGTCTTTCAAACAACCAACTTTATAATATGTGCTCACAGTGAACTCACTCGGAAAAATCTTTTTGCAACAAAGTGGCAATTTCAGAGCTGAATACACAAACACAGATGAACTTCCTGCAATAGTTTCTTGAAAATCAAACTAAAGAAGCATTTTCTATGAGTGTGGTCTGATGTATGACTGCATTCATGCTTATGGAGATGGAGTTTACAACAAAGTCCCAAGGCAATTTTCTATTGTGTTACTCTGAAGGACACCTGTCAAAAGGAATGGTATGCTAATACTTTTGAATAGTTGTTTAAATTTTATATATAGGGTGGAAAATTCATGGATACTTAAACTCCTTGAGGAATTTGGTGTTTTGGTTTGTTTGGATTATTTTTTATACAGCATTCACAGGGTCCAGTGACCTGTACAGCTCAAGGTGTGGTTTCACAGTCAGACCCACTCCAGCCTCAGGCTTCTGTGTCTCCTCACTTATGTTTGCACTACTGCTTGTGTGCCCAGGCTGTGCCAAGGCAAGAACTGGCCTCAGTGCAAAGACCAGAGGACCAAGCAATCCAGAGTGGAAGTGTGGGACAGTTCACACAGAAATGAGCATGAAATTGAAGTTTAGAGTGCTATGTGCGAGGTCTTACTTAAACATAGCCTTTTGGCTTTCAAATCCTATAAGCATTTTTTTACATTACACATATAATTCATTATATTATTTAAAAAAAAAAAAGACACTTATTGCTTTTAGTATAAGACAAAATCAAAACTTTTCAGCATCTCTTTTATTTGAGGAATTTTGAGTATTCCGAATGATTCATACTTGGTCTGACTGATCATACTGAATGGTCACTGATTTAGATTCCTGTATGGAAACCTCTCTAAAGTTTGAGCTGTTCATTTATGTCTCCAAATCCAAACATTATATTTTGAAATCTCTTGTGCCATTTACATGCTTTGAATTTAATAATTGTAATAAACTGCTTCCATTTTGGGGTTGTATTTTGTGGAGAAATGCCCTTCCCTAATCCAATGAAAGATGTTTTCAAAGCACATTGGCGTGGGACTTGATGAGATTCAGTGTTTGAAATAAAGAGATGATTTAACAAAAACACTATGCAATAGGACTACAAGCTCCAAACAGCAGCAGATTAACAAGGGAAATGGTTTTACAAGTCTGGCTGAGCTGAAGTGTTGAAAATTCAGAAAAGAAGGAGACAGTTCAGTGAGCAGCATTACCTTTGCCCAGGATTTTGCTCTTTTGAAAGAACAAGTTCTCTGAAGGCAGACAGGACAGTGAGCTCCAGCACAAATGCCAGAGTCATTGCCCCAGTGCTGAATAGCATTGCATCCACATCCATGATGGGGCATCTGTGAAGATAAAGAACCCTTCTTGTATTGGAGATTTCTGCTGGATTTTGCAGGCCACACTTCCTGGAAGAGAAAAGGATGCAAAGGAAGTTCAAGGACTGGTCTTCCCCATTTTTCTTCCTCATTGAATATGTAGTCTGAACTGCTAGACAAAGCTGTTAGAATTACTGTTAGCATTTGAGTTGGGATATTGTTTGAATTCGTAGATCCCCAAACTGAAAATTCATCAATTTTACTTTTGGAGAAGTAGTTCAGAACTGGGATGCAACATAAAATTCACACAATAACCTGAGATTGTCTTCTTGGGGCCCATGGGAAGTTTGTTTTTCGAATGACACCTGCTGGAAGGTCTAAAGTGTGTCTGAGAGCTGTGCCTGAGACAGAGGCACATCACAGCAAGAACACTTTCCCTGTCTTCTGATGGATGTGGCTGTGGTGGGTGAGTACAAACAGAGCTGCCAAGGTGAAGCAGTGTGAGTTCCTAAACAATGTCAAAGATTCTGAAACTAAGCAAATGTCTGCAAAGTTTTTTTAGAGCAAACTGTGCATTTGACAAAATATCTTAGTGGTACAAGTTCAATTACATTTTTGTTTTTCTTTCATGTAAGTCAAGGTTTAGCTTCAGAATACAGAGTTATGCTGACAGAATTTACATTGTGCCATGCAAATACAGCAATAAAACCTGGTTTTCTTCCTCTGCAGTACTCTCAATAAGACAGTTGTGAAAAATAGCCTTACTGAAGAAAGTAGTATATGTAAGTATATGTTGTTTCATTAAGTACATTGGTGCCTCCAGTTTTACATCAGCTGGCAGTTTTCTTTCATTTTATGGAGGGGGGGGATTTGAAAAAATAATGCTCATCAGAAAAATATTAACAATATTCAAAAGTAGTAAAATAGTGATTATTTTCATTATTTATTCTTAAATTTATCTAAATAATGTATGATTTTTTGATAATAAGTATGTAGGGAAATCATACATCCTACCCTAAATCACAGTGAATTTTCCACACAGAAACTCAGGGCAGTAAAAGATTCTGTTCAGTTTCAGAACTGTATTTTCTATCATCACACTGATATGCAGACTTACAGCTCTGACCAGTAAATGTAACATACAGGTTTTTGTTGTTTGTTTTGGTTTATAGTCTTCCTGCCATGTAGATGGCAGCAGCACTCAAGCCTTGAAATTCACTCCAGCTTTTTCTTGAGTTTGTTTGAAAAAAACATGTTTAGGAATATTATTGCTGAGACTGAACTGAAAGCTTGATTACTTTAAATATGGATATTAGTTTAGTAACATGTGCCTGTAAAGAAGCTTTTAACTTTGTAATATGAGTGTTTAAAAGACAGTAAGTCATATCAGTCTGTATTAACATAATTGCCGCTGTTATTTTTTTTAACCTGTGTTTTACATTTCTAGAAGTCTTCCTACTGCACTAGGTTGCAAGACACACAGGATGTTTTTGAAAGTTCAAAAATTTATTTCCTTGCAGAATGAGCAGCAGCCCTGGCAGGAAAGCTGTTGACTGTGGACAGCCTTGTCAAAGAAACAAAGAGGAAGGACAGATAAAGGTAGTGGGATACACAGTGTAGAATTTTGTGCTAGGGGTTCTACTAATTGCAGTGTTTTATAGAAAATCTGAATTATCTGGGGAAAAAAACATTTTGAAGGTCCAAATATCTTTATCTTTGCATAGTGTAGAACTGTCTGCACTGACGTTTACTTTGGCTAAGTAGAGAGATTTTGAAAGAGAAGCAACAAAACTGAGACTCAGAATCAAAGCTATCTAGTAGTCTTAGTCTCTGCAGTGTCAGCTGAAACCTCAGGGAGACTTTGTGGGACCATCTCCAGCCCCTCAGAGATAAAAGCAGGTGTTATATGTGTAAGTGTGCACAGAGGGAAAATTAGCACAAGAAGGCATGATGATGTTAGTGCCTTGAACTGGAAAATACTGTTTAAATGCTGGGGGCAAACAGTAGTGCTACAGGGAGCTGTCATACAAAACAGATCAGCACTAGCTCCCTCAATACTTCTAAACCAGTGGCAGCTGAAGAGGGAGATGAAATATCCCATGGACAGCACATCTCATTCCACAGGATCCTGTCTGAGAATGCACTGAGTGGGGGTTTAAGCCACATTGACTCTGGGATCTGCTGAAGTAACTGGGAAAGTGGGCAGACTGTGGCATTGAGCCATCCTCATCCAGCTGCCACAGCTGCAGATTTGGGCAGGTCTGTTCTAGCCCCCTGCAGAAGCTGGGAGAGAAATGGGAACTGATAACCCTCTATGCCTTCACTGTGTGGTGTGAAATAGAAACCCTTGGCACAGGGGATCATCCAGCTGTTTGTCAGGAAAACCAGCTGTTTGTCAGGCAGTCTGCAGAGGCCAGGATTCCACATGGGAGGATCTGTCACAGCTTCACACTGCACTCAGTGGATGGGCTCTGACCAAATAGTCCTCTAATGTCTGTGACCAAAAACATGGTACAGATGTCATGACACATATCCTGGAGTGACAGCACTCCTTAACTACTGCTTCAGGCAAAGGATTTACAAAGGGAAAGCAGAAATTCTTGGCTGATAAAATGTGTGACAAGAGTAAAAGTAGATGAGTGATGAGAAAAGAGCAGCAACTGGACACATGTTGCATCAAAGCACTGGGGTAGGCAGCTTTTGTCTGTCCTACACTTGTTGAGTACAGTGCCTTGGACATCGGTAATGGGAAAAGCACTGCTCTTCTTAAATGTCTTCCAGACTAATGCATGCTGAGAGCAAATATGTTTTTGCTGCTTTTAGTATATAGTTTGAAGATTTGATGGGTTTTGCTTCTCACTTCATAGCATCCATTAAATCAATCTTAGATTTCATTTCGTTGAGCAGATATTTGTCAAAAAGCTGCTTCAAGGTCTCCCAAATCCACCTTTTTTCTCCTATACTTTCAAAATTATGCCACTGCTTAAGTAATAAAAAATATCTTTTCACCTTCCCTCTACCTCACTGGTAATATACTCAGTGTAGTTATTGGAGTGTTCTACGCATTGCAACCAAGCATACATTTAGAATTCATATCAGTGCTGATTATTCATGACCTATAATGAAAATATATTTTAAAAGCTCCTAGCAACTTGAAATAACTGTCACCATGTTTGTGTTATCTCTGTGTAGCACATTGGAATAGTTTTGTAAGGATATATAAAAGATGGTCATGGTATTTTGCAAGTTAATACAAAAGCAAAATTCTATAATAAAAATGTAAATGTTGGTAGATTTTTGTTAGCCCTGCCCAAACTTACTAGGCTTCAGCAGCAAAATCACCTGAGTAATACAAGATAGAAACTCTTAAAACTACCAAACAGGCTTTCCTTAGAGATATTTTTGCAGAATCACTTTGAAGTATAACTGCTCCTTAGGAATTTGAGATTTGCACCAATAACATTTCAAGCTTTTTAAAGAAGGGGATGAACAATTGTAATGGATTGGATACTGCGTAAGTATCAGAGAAAACATCACAAGCAAAGACTTATTTCAGGCACTCTTTCTTATATTTGCTGCCTTGGTTATATGAAGTGACAGCCCAATGAATCACTGGGTGGTCTTTTGGTCTGACAATTTGGGTATTGTCCAAGCAATTAACAGGCAGGCAGCCAGTTGCAGCAGCCAGTGATTAAATTACAGAGGTTCTTTGGTGGTTTCCATAAAGAAATTTCTGGGAAGAGTTAGATGGATCTACCACCTACCATATGATGAGCATGTGTCCTAGTCTGTGTACATGTTTATTTGACAAAATACTTAAGAATATTGCTTCACCTGAAAAGAGTCAATATTTGAAAGACAGTCCATCCTTTTGGTTTCTCCTGTACTAACCCTGTGTGTGAGGAGAATTTATGATACTGTTGGAATAAACCTTAAGCTTTGTGTGGGTTTTTTTATATGAGATTTTAGAAATGTCTTTCCTCATATCTTGAATCACGTCTGACTAACTGCATAAGTACTTCACAGGTTTAATTCTAGATTTTTCATTTAAAAATGCCTTCTCTTATGTAAGTCCTTTAAGCACATATAATTGGTGTTAAATTTTTGCTTAGCCCATGGAACATGTAGCATCCTGTGTTATCCCCCTTAATCTATAAATGCTAATCTCTGTTCCTGCTATTTGGCTGGTTTTCCTTTGTGTGTGGGAAAAATCTATCACACTTTTTCCAGAATTTTGAGGTTTTTTTCTTCCTCCCATGGTGGTCAGTGGTTAAACTTCCACAGGGAGAGATTAAGGTAAAAGCAGCAAAAAGGAAAAATAAGAGGAAATAAACTCTATTATCTAGAGTAAATATACCAGCATGGTCAAATTATGATTACACTGGCCTCCAAGCTGCACTCTGATCCTTTATGATAATTCTGAGCAGTGCTCTGAAGGTGAGTGTAAATGTCAATACTCTAGGAAGACTTGAAATTTTTGTGAATTTGCATGGGATACATGGATCCATAACTACAATCCTGCAGGTACTGGGTTAGTACTCATGCTGATGGGAACACTGAGCTCTCATGTGGCATTTTTGATAGGGGTATGGGACTGTAAAAGGAATCTCAGCAACATTAAGTTTTCTTTAGCATTTAGTCTTTCTCCAGGGGGTAATTTTTCTGGATTAGATGGGAAAGTGCCCTTGCTGCTA